GTGGCTGGGAAATGACACAGGCTCTTGGGTAGATCTTGTGTGGGGCTGTTAACCAGAGGGCATGCTTGGGCCTCTCCAATATGGTTGTCTTGGAGTGACTGGACCTCTTACATGGTAGCTGCCTCACACACCCCCCCAAACAAGCATCCTAAGAGGATCAGGTGCACTTCTTCTGGTCTTAACCTTGGAAATCACACAGTATCATCTGGTTTTACTCTACTGGTCAAAGCAGTTCCACAGTGTGCCAAGATTCAAATGGAGGGGGCATGGACTCTACCTCTAGACTGAAGTGCTTGAAAGAATTCTAGGTCCCTTCTTTTAAACTGTGCCATCATTCAGTATCTTTCCTTCCTCCATCCCTCCTCTCTTCTCCCTTCCTCTGTCACTCTTCTTTGCTACCCCATCTCCTCCTCTTATGCTTCTCCCCAGTTATCTTCTATTTTGTAGTGTCTGTGCTGGACTCTGGAAGTGTATCCTTTTTTAAAAGATTTTATTTATTTATTCACGAGAGACACATAGAGAGAGTCAGAGACACAGGCAGAGGGAGAATCAGACTCCTCACAGGGAAACCGGTGTGGGACTCGATTCTGGAACTGGGATTACACCCTGAGCCAAAGGCAGACGCTCAGCCGCTGAGCCACCCAGGCATTGCCTGGAAGTGTATCCTTTATTGAAAGCCCAGAAAACAAGTTCATAGCCTTTTTCAGATATGGAGCTTCATGAAATTGATGGAGCTCAAGCTTCATGGTCCCTCACTTGCGCAAACCCAGTTCTATTCTTAAGCATTTTACGGCAATTTTACCGGACCATAGCATCACCAGAGTTCCCAACTTGCAGGATTTCTATACCTCTTTCTCTCTTTCTTTTGGTGTCACTGGAAGACCCAATGGTTTCCTTTTTTTTATAATAAATTTATTTTTTATTGGTGTTCAATTTGCCAACTTACAGAATAACACCCAGTGCTCATCCTGTCAAGTGCCCCTCTCAGTGCCCGTCACCCATTCACCCCCATCCCCCACCCTCCTCCCCTTCCACCACCCCTAGTTCGTTTCCCAGAGTTAGGAGTCTTTATGTTCTGTCTCCCTTTCTGATATTTCCCACACACTTCTTCTCCCTTCCTTTATATTCCCTTTCACTATTATTTATATTCCCCAAATGAATGAGAACATATGTCTGTCCTTCTCCGATTGACTTACTTCACTCAGCATAATACCCTCCAGTTCCAACCACGTTGAAGCAAATGGTGGGTATTTGTCCTTTCTAATGGCTGAGTAGTATTCCATTGTATACATAAACCACATCTTCTTTATCCATTCATCTTTCGATGGACACCGAGGCTCCTTCCACAGTTTGGCTATTGTGGACATTGCTGCTAGAAACATCGGGGTGCAGGTGTCCCGGCGTTTCATTGCATCTGAATCTTTGGGGTAAATCCCCAGCAGTGCAATTGCTGGGTTGTAGGACAGGTCTATTTTTAACTCTTTGAGGAACCTCCACACAGTTTTCCAGAGTGGCTGCACCAGTTCACATTCCCACCAACAGTGTAAGAGGGTTCCCTTTTCTCTGCATCCTCTCCAACATTTGTGGTTTCCTGCCTTGTTAATTTTCCCCATTCTCACTGGTGTGAGGTGGTATCTCATTGTGGTTTTGATTTGACCCAATGGTTTCTTTGTTCTGCAAACATTCCACAGAGGGAGTAGATGCGAATTATTCATTTTCAGAGATAATCAGACCTATAGAACACTTTATTAGGGAAACTGGAGGCTTCCAAAGTATACACAGGTATGCTGAGAGTTGAAGAGATAGGGTCAGACATTGAGAAAGGGTTAAAGGATGAAGGGCATTGTGTTTGAAGAGAAGGTGACCTGAAGGAAAAGGAGTAAGCAAATTCTGAGTTTCAGTTTTTTTGGAACAGCCAATGTTTTGGCAGCTGAGATTTGGCCAGAGTAAGCCAATATGAAGCATCAGTCAAGCACATGTGAAGAGAACCTTGGATTATGAGCCAAATTCTGAAGGTTGTTCCAGTTCTCTTTATCCTACCGAGGGAGATGGTGACTCTGCAAGATAGCAGAATAAAAAAGGATGAGATGATTGGGCCTTACTCACCTCAGAAACCAAATGTTGTAGTTAATGGAACAAAAGAGATGGGATCATTTTTATATCTTTTCACAGGAAGATAAAACAGAAGTGGAGTGACTTTTAGGGCTCATAGGGTGCTTGTGTGCTCTGGTTTTTCCAGTCAAGTCCCAGTTTACACCTGTTGTCCCAATGTAGTAATTCATGGCATCCTCTTTCACTCTCAAAAGTTTCTCGGTTTGGTCAATAAAGCAGGTGGTTGCCCTGGTTCTAATCACCTTAAAAAGGAAAGTGAAGAGATTGGGTGATGGTGCATGGCACCAACACTGGGCTGGTTCACTGGGCCTTTTTCTTTTTTTTTAATAATAAATTTATTTTTTATTGATGTTCAATTTGCCAACATACAGAACAACACCCAGTGCTCATCCAGTCAAGTGCCCCCCTCAGTGCCCGCCACCCAGTCACCCCCACCCCCCGGCCTCCTCCCCTTCCACCAACCCTAGTTCGTTTCCCAGAGTTAGGAGTCTTCCATATTCTGTCTCCCTTTCTGATATTTCCTACCCATTTCTTCTCCCTTCCCCTCGATTTCCTTTCACTATTATTTATATTCCACTGGGCCTTTTTCTGACATAGTCTTGGACACTCCACCCCTTCTGCTTCCTCATTCTGCACCCTTTATCCATCTCATACTTGCCAACTTCCCTTTGGCTACTGCTCCTCATCTTACCTTCTCTTTTCCAAAGCATCCTCTATCCACCCCTCTGCAAGGTGCATTCTTACCTTGTGACTGGACTTGTTCTATTTGCCCCAGGCCTGCCAACTTCCTAGAATGGGCCCGCTAACACCCAGATCACACACTGGTGCAGGTGAGCATGGGAGACGGGACCCCTGGGACTTACATGTTTCTGGGCAGATGGCCCTGCAGACAGCTTCAGATTGGAAGTTGTTATTGTTCCCACTGCAACCACCATAGTTGAATCTGTAGCAGCGTTTGTATTCCTTATTGTACCACCAGCGTGGAATGCGGGCCAGGCAGAGGCCCACATTCATTGGTAAAGTACATATGTCTGCAAGAAGATGGCAGAGCAGTACTGCTTGGGTGCCTGCCTTGCTAGAGAATATTCCAGGCATGTGCAAAGGCTTGGAAGAATGAAAGAGCATGATATTTTTAGAGCAGCATGGATGTGCTAAAAAAATATTGTGCTGTTACACTTCTCCACTCTTTTGCACGTGCTTGGAGAGTCCACCCCTCTCTTGCTTACTAGGTACATTTCTATTCATTCCTCAAAACACTCCCCCCCACATCAGACTCTTCTGTGATCTCTCTCCTGGCTCCATTCTTCACTGTTTGCTTTTCTTTGTTGCTTTTCAATCTTGCCTACACATTGATCACTTCCACGTAATTGTAATTATTTATTCATATTTCCTGACTTCTCCATCAGAAAGTGAGGTTTGCACATTACATCATCTTGGTATACTAGTTCTTAGCAGATAATCTGGCACTGAGAGGTTGCTTCAGGAATGTACACAGTACAAAATCAAATATATCCTGAACTTCGAGAAATACTTAATGAGCAACTGTTTTTTTTAAGTTTTTATTTATTTATTCATGAGAGACACAGAGACAGAGAGAGAGAGAGAGAGACAGAGACACAGGCAGAGGGAGAAGCAGGCTCCATGCAGGGAGCCTGGCGTGGGACTCGATCCCGGGTCCCCAGGATCACGCCCTGGGTTGAAGGCAGGTGCTAAACCACTGAGCCACCCAGGTATCCCCCTGAGCAACTGTTTTGTGCACAGCACTATGAGGTACAAATAGAGTTGTTTAGAACCTCACAGTCTGAAGCACAACAATGACAGTTTTTTATTAAAACTCTTAGCACTTGACATATATTGACATATAACCTTAGGAGGTAGGTCCTCTTATTGTCTTCATTTTGCAGATGAGGAAACTGAAGCTCAGAGAGACAAAGTAACTTCCCTAAGGTCACAAAGATGGCAAGGGATTTGAACATAGATGTTCTGTTGCTCTTAGAATTAAGACCAGATCCCTTACTCTGGCTGGCAAGACTGCCTTGTCAGAACCCTGCCTACCTAGCATGGCCTCACCCTCCTGATACTTCTCTTTCTCATCATGGGCGTAATTGCTCTCTAGTCTCTGAAATTTCTAGGCCTGAACATGCTGTCCCTGAACACAGGGACTTTGCACATGTGTGCATTTCCTGTGACTGGATTTCCCTCCAATTTTTGCCTACTTACTGCCAATCTTTCAGATCTTAAATCATAGATCTCTTTTCCAGGAAAACCTGACCTGCCTCCCGTGGCCTATATTGAGCAAGTAGAGCCCATCATGTGTGTAAGCGGCACCAGTAAATATTTGTTGAATGGATGAATGAATGAATGGTCCTTGATGGTCCTCTTTAAAGTTCAATCATATGGGCACAGAAGGAAGAGTGGAAGAGTAAAAAAGTGGTTAGAGAAGGAATCCTGGATTTATATGACAGAGAAGCCTGGTGGGGGGCAGGGGGGAATGCCAGGAAATAGATATTGTATACTTGTTTCTTATAGCTATCGTATCACCTGATGCCATTTGATGTTTGATGGGACTTCAGTGAGAACTTGGCGTCTCAGAGGATCACAGAAGAATAGCCAAGAGACCATGTGGTCTAATGCCTACATCTTTCTTACAGATGGGGGAAACTAAGGTCCATAAAGCAAAAACTCTGTTATTCACAACACATACCTGAATAGGGGCAGAAAATGAAATAAACTCCACCCCATTCCAGCGCTGCTAGGATTTGGGTTAAGTAAAAGATGCACCCAGATTCTTGGTCAGAGACCAGCCATCAGGAAATCAGGGGAGGGGTCGAACACTGCCAGTGTAGATGGGCAGAAAGTGGGGGCCAGGAGGGAGGGCACTGGATACTTCAGGGGGTTTGTGTGTTACCTTCCTTGAGGTCTAAACATTTCTTTGAACAGTTAAAATTGCAGCACGTCATCTTCTCAGGGCAGCTTTTACTCCTCGAGCATTGGTCGATTTCTCTGTAACGGCATGGTATTCTGGTACGGGGACACTTGACTGAGGAAGGGGAAAAAGGGAAGAAGGCAGGCAAGAACCCTCCATTGACAGGCCCAGCACATCACTGCAGAGTTAGAGAAGGCTTTTCGCTTCCTCGTCCACAGAAGTAGATACCTTCAGAGAGCTCAGGATTTTCACACCACTGGCCCCACTTCCAACCCCATAACAACTCCTCATCTATTCACCAAACACAACCCTACTCTCACCTGCACTGCCCGTAAGGTTTTAGGGAGAAGGATGCTCTCCTCTAGGACTACTCTGGTCATTGGATTTCCTATATTTGGATGTTCCCTGGGTGGGGATAAAAGGGCTGTAGCTCCTCTAGGTGACTGAGATCTCCATTTGTGGAGTCAGGTAGCTGGGCTTTTGAATTCTCTGCAACCCTTGGTATGGCAGGCACCATTTTTGGACCTTGATTCTTTCATTTGCCTGTAAAGTTATTTGGAGGACTAGTTGACAAATCTTGGAGGCCTTGTCAGGCAGCCTGGGGCATATTACTAATAACTAATATTAAAGAGATACTATGAGCTTGTCCTCTTTTCCTTAATTCTCATGGCACTTCTATGGGTGAATCCTACCAATATCCACATTTTGTAAAACAGAGGAATCTGGAGCACAGGAAGGTTATGTGAATTTCCCCAAGGTCACACAGCCACCAAAAAGTGGAGCCTGGATTTGAACCTGCAATGTATGGCTTCACTGCTGAGTGCTCAGTGTATTTTAACTGCTACTTATGGGAACCTTCATATCTCAGCATTCCAAGGGACTTCCAGAGACCATTCTTTACTCCACAGGCAAGGACTCTTTGGAGGTTTGGGTGTGGGGAGACTTTTGGAGGCTGCAACTGGAAAATTTGAAGCTGTTAAGGGTGGTGCTAGGGCGAGGGACCTTTCTTGCAGGAAAGGCCCACAAGGTCCCAGCACCTTTAGTCCATCTCATGAGCTCTGGGTCTAGGCACCTCCAGAAGGAATCCCTCTCATAATGACAGTGGGGAGTCTGTTGCCATAAACTTGGGTTCCTGCACTCACAGAGTGCATCTTATCAGGAGGAAGGGGCCTGAGAGATGGACTGTGAATATTTCCCTTTTCTCCCACACAGGACCTCAGGTTGAGTAGGGAAAGCTTTCCTCATCTGTAGAATTCTTCCCAGAAACTTCCTCCCTCCCAGCAACTTCCATGTCTCCGCTGGGAGGATCTGGTCCCCAGTACTTACTGGCAAGTAACCCCTCAACCAGCTCAGGTTCCTGGACTCCCCCCAAGAGGATGAAGAGTGCCAGGACTGACAGAAGTCCCAAAAGCCCCATGTTAAGAGCTACTGGCCTGGCTGATGGCACCAAAATTAAGAACTGCTCCTCAGTAGCTCCTGCTTCTGAACTTTGGCTTCCCTGGAGCAAAAGCCACATATCACTGGAGACAAGCCAGCTACACTCCCTCTGCTGGGGAACATCAAGTCCTGGAGGTCATCAGTGGGTGTATCTGGAACCCACAGCACTAACCCTGGGGGAAAGGGATTTTGACAGGCAGCTTCTACTCCTCAGCTCACTGAGGCTCTCTGGCTCTCTGGTAGCCAGGAGGAGGGAGTAAAGCTTGTCTGGGACTTCTAGACTCCCTTGGAGAAAGGGATGTCCAATTTCATTTTCCATTTTCCAGGGAGTAGTTTAGAGATCAAGAATATGCTAGTTCTTGAGATGCCTGGTTGCTAAAGCATCTGCCTTTGGCTGAGGTTGTGATCCTGAGGTTCTGGGATCAAGCCCCATGGCATCGGACTCCCTGCTCACTGGGAGCCTGCTTCTCCTTCTTCCTCTGCTCTTCTCTTCCCCACTCATGTTCTGTCTCTCTCAAATAAATAAATAAAATCTTAAAAGAAAAGAATATTCCAGTTCCCTCTTTCCAATCTTACCCTTCTCCTGATATGTTTTTGTCTGCTTCTTTTTCTCACACTGTTTATTTTTCTTCTCTCTATGCCTCCTCCTTTTATTCTGTCCCTTGCCTTTTTCTCTTTTCCTGTGAGTCTCCCTCTGAGTCTCTTTCTCCCTGCCCTTTGTTTCCCTTCTTTCTCCTTTTTGTTTTCTTTGGGCCACTCCTTTCTCTTAACCATTGCCAAAAAGAAAAGGTATTGCCATAAGGAGCTTTTGGGGGAGGAGACAGGTTGATCCCAGGTTAAGCCAAATCTTCAGAGAGTATATGTTGAGATCATGGTGCTTTGAAAGCAAGAGAGGATGCCAGAGCTAACAGAGAGCCTCTGTCATTGTGTGCAATTTGGAATGTATGATGCAGAAGGAAATGATAAATATCAGTTACAACCTCATAAACAGAAGCCATAGGCCATGAGGATCCTTCCCTGAACTTTTCAATTTAAGGTTTGAAGCAGCAATATGACATGTTCTTGGCTCACCTTTGATTTCACCTGCAGCTGCAGGAGACAGATCTAGTGAACTTTTTTGTTCTAATCCATTTTTTAAAGTGAAGTGGAGTTCACATCAGATAAGATTAACCATTTTTAAGTGGAGAGATTAGAGGCTTCTTAGTACCATCACAATGTTGCATAATCACCACTTTTTTTTTTTAATCACTCCAGAAGAAAACCTTAGGGGCACTGGGCTGGCTCAGTTGGAAGACCATATGACTCTTGATCGCAGGAGCTTGAGCTCCACATCTGATATAGATGTTACTTAAAAAAATAATTTTTTTTTTTAAAAAAGGACTACCTATTAGTAGTCACTATTTCCCCCAGCCTAATCCTGCCCCTGGCAACCAGTAACCAGTAACTTTCTATTTCTATAGACTTAACTTTTCTGGATATCTCATATAAATAGAATCATACAGCATATCATCTTTCATGTCTGGCTTTTTTTTTGCATAGCCTAATGCTTTTGAGGTTCATTCATATTGTAGCCTATATAAGCACTTTGCTCCTTGTTATGGCTGAATAGCATCCAGTGCACAGAGTAACTTCCCACTTCTAGTGTCAGAGTCTCTACTTCTATGCTATGGGTTTTCTCTGGCTCCCTGACAGCTTGCTCAGCTTGCATGAGGAACAATCTAGAAGAGCAAGGGGTTTAATATACCCACACATCTGGGGGGGGATGGGAATTAGTGAATAAATGCCTCAGCTGCTCCATCACGGAGATGAATGCAGACATTTGGACATATGTTTTACAGGGTTCCTTAGAAGGTCCCCAGGGGGAGTAAGCTGCAGTTTGTCCCCATCGTAACAGCTCACAATCGACTCTTCTCTTGCCTGTATCACTTACCCCCCCCCCACATCCTGTGTGTTTGGAGAGATGTCCCAAGTAAACTCCTTTATCCATGTCCTTGTCCTAGGATTGGTTTCTGGGGGATTCAAACTAAGGCAATGCCTGTAGACCCTTGTCCTAAAAGGGTCTTATAATTTTTTTAAGAAACAGAGGAGAATAACAATACCTTTGATGCTCTCAGCTCTCGAGGTTCTGACTGTTTTCACTCCCTTTAATGGTGTCACAATAGCCTCAATGATCCTTTACTCTATGCAAGATGTAATGTAGCAAACAATGTGAATTATTCAGCCTCAGAGGCATGGGACTAAACAGAATCTTAATTGGGGAAAACTGGGGGCTCTAGACATAGTACATAAAGGAAAGAAGCATAAGGATGGGATCAAAAGAGAATTATACCATGTTTGAAAAGAGGCTGAGATAGGGAAAGAGGAATGCAGAAACCAAGGTTCTGTTTGGGGAAAGACATGGGGCCTTGGAATGTAGACTGGAACAGTGGAACCCAACGTGGAGAATCATCCAGGTGCATGGACACAACCTTAGATCACGAGCCACCTCCTGGTGGTTGTTCAGGTGCATCCTTATGCACTGAGGAATAGGAACCCGGCAAGAATGTAGGATGGGACCCACTAAGCATCTTGGGCTCAGCTTATCTTCAGTGTGAGTCTTGAAGTTATGTTTGTGCTTCTTTGCACAGGAGGTTAAAACAAAGTGGATTTTCTTTGGGGGAGCTATAGCTTTTCTCCTTGCAGGAGAAATGAGATATGGTCGGGATAGAGTGCTGGCGACCCAGCACTAGGCTGGATGTCCTGTGACCTCTCTGGAGCTGGTCTCTGGGATTTTACCCTGTCTGCACCCTTCCTCCACCTCTCATACTTGCCAGTTTTGATTCATGACCACATCCCTTCTCAAACTCAGTTCCCAGAATGCCACTGTCCAACCCTTAGCCAGGTGCATGCTTACCTCCCAGGTAAAGCTGACTCTGTCAGCACTTGGCCTGCCAAGGTTGTGGTCATGCCTGAATAAAGCAGTCACACACAGACTTGCTGGCAGGGCCCTACTGAGGATGGTATGCCCCCGGGACTCACAATTGCTGGGGCACATGTTCTGGCACATGGCTTTGGACTGGAAGTTGTTGTTTCCTTTGCATCCACCATAGATGAACCTGGAGCAGGCATTCTTCTCCTTATCATACCACCAACGACAAAAAAAAAAAAAAAAGCCACGCAGGAGCCAGTTTCTTTGGGCATGGTGCATATGTCTGTAGGGAGACCCCAGACTTTAGTAGTATGAGTGCCCCCCCCCCAAGAAAGCAGTTGATATTGCTCCCCCCCTGGAAATCACTGGACATGGAACTGAGCAGGCTCCTTTCCCCTTATCACATTTCAAAGCCCAGCTCCACTGGCATGTGGTGCACATTGTAGGCCCCCAGAGCAGACCTGTTTGGGTGTCTGCACCCCTGGAGAATGTCTATCTCCTCTGTTCTTCTTGGTCACCGTCCTTATTGTCTTCTCCGAGGAGACTGACTTCAAGGATCTGCTCCCAATTCAGTGTGTGCACATTGATTTCCTGTGTTACCTGTCTCGTCCTTGACTTCCTCTTCTGGAAAATGGAAATGCAAAATCCCACACTGCTAGTGGCACAAGGCTGTGAAGCTCCTAGCACAATGCCTGGCAGAGAGTAGCTGCTCAGGAAATACATCCTGAGTGGATAAAAGATATGGAAGTAGCTTAAAAATGACAAAATATAATAAGCTATTTACTCTGTGCTCCAAACTGTGCTGGGAAGACAGCATATGGGATGATGGCAAGTAAAGGGCAAATAAGGCAGGGAAGCCAGAGGCTATTCTTTTAGATGATTAAGTCAAGCACCTTTCATCCTGCAGTTAGCTTCAGTCCTGTGATGAGTTGAGTTGTGTCTCTCCCTACTCACCCCACTCCCATTCGTATGTTGAAGTTCTAACCCTCAATCCTTCAGAATGAGATTCTATTTGGAAATAGAGTTGTGGCAGGTATAATTAGTTAGGAGGAGTAATACTGGAGTAGAATGCATCCCTAATCCAATATGATTCGTCTCCTTATAGAAAGCGGAACTTGGACACACACACACAAACACACACATACACACACAGAGGGAGAGAGAGAGAGAGAGAGAGAGAGAGAGAGAGAGAACATCATGAGAAGTTGAAAGCAAAAGTCTATAAGCATGGAACTGCCAAGATTGCCAGCACACCACCAGAAGTTAGGGGAGAGGCATGGAACAGATAGATGCTCACAACCTGAGAAAGAACCTGCCTTGCCAACACTTGACCTTGGACTTGTAGTCTGAGGAACTGTGAGACAATACATTTCTGTTGTTTAAGCCACTCAGTTTGTGGTCTTTTGCTATAGCAGCCCTAGCAAATGAATGCAGATCTGAACTAAACTCTGAACTCCTCAAGGGAAAACTTCTAGCTCACTTCTATGCCAGTCTCTTGAAACCTTGGTGTCTTCTGCTTAGGTTATTGGGATAGCTTGGAACTGATCTTCTTGTCCCTGGCCCTGGCCCCTCCAATCAGTCCTTTGTGCTGCCCACCAGAAGGAAGGACCTAATGGAACTGAAACAAAGCTGATGACATCATTCCACAGCTAAGGCCTTGATTTCATGGCCAAGTCTTTCCGTGACTCACAGGCTCTTTATAGACTGGCTCCTGCTTGTGGTTCTTTCTACCCCTCTCCCCCACCACAGTACCATTTGAGGTACATGCTCTGCAATATTCATACCATTCGTTATCCCACACATCCACATCTTTTGCTCTGCATTCCCTCTGCCCACCCTGCTGCTGTTCATTAGTGGCACTCCCACCTCTCCCTTTAAAACCTCAAACATCAGCTCCTCTGTGATGTCACTGACTCCATCTATACCCCATACCCCACAGGCACCTGGACCAATCCTGCATTGTTCTATCATGCTTCTGATTTCATGTGCGTTATTGTGGCTGGTTTACATCCTTGATCTCCTCCATGAGGTTGTGAACTTCCAAGGGAGCAGAGATTGTGTCTAATTTCTTTTTTATTTTTATTTATTTATTTATGATAGTCACACACAGAGAGAGAGAGAGAGAGAGAGAGGCAGAGACATAGGCAGAGGGAGAAGCAGGCTCCATGCACTGGGAGCCTGACGTGGGATTCGATCCCGGGTCTCCAGGATCGCGCCCTGGGCCAAAGGCAGGCGCTAAACCGCTGCACCACCCAGGGATCCCCTGTGTCTAATTTCTACCCACTCTGCTCCATTGTCAAGTCTTGCTTACTTTACCTCCTAGACACCTTTCAAACTCACCTCACTCCTCTCCATCCCCTCAATTCCTCTCTGGTTGAAGCTACCACATCCTTTATTCCTGAAGTTCTCAAAGATACTCTGTTCCTTCTTTGTAGGCATCGTTAAAACCTGATCATGTCACAGTCCACCTCAGTGGACTCATTTGCTCTTGGGATCAAAGTGAGATACTAGCCTCTGGTCTGGAGTAGTTGAAGGAGGTTTCCTGGTTCTAAGTTGCACTTCAATAAGGAGAAAGGCAGCACATCTGCAGCAAAAAGCTGGTAAATACCAACAGCTTAGTTATGACGTACAGCAAAAATGTGCCAGTAATAGCCACCAGAGGACTCAAAAATTAACAAGTACAAACAAACAAAAAAGAAAATAATGAGTTAAAAGCAACCATGAGACTGCTGGTACAATCCTACAGTCATCTTCCATTTGGGGAAACTGAGGTCCAGACAGGATGGAGATACTTCCTAATGTTAACATAATATCAGGGGCAGTGATGGCTCTAAATTGCAGGTCACCCCAACCCAGCAATCTTGCTCAGAGACCAGCCCTTAGCAAAGCAAGGATGATGCCACCTAGGTGGGCAGAAGATGAGAAGGTGGGCAAGGTGGATGGTTATTCTGAGGCTCAGAATAATACCTTGATTGAGGTCTAAACATTTTTTTCCACAGCTGAATACACAACACTTCTTGTTGTCATCTAGACATTGTCTGTCCTTCGCACATTCATCCCTTTCTTTGAATTCACATTTCTCTTGGATTCTGGGGCCTCTCCCTAGGGAAAGGACAGTTTTACAACCATGAATGATGGAGGGCACGGTGTCCACTCTTCCCCCAATGTGAGGCAATTCTGCGGAGTCAGTGAGGTTTGCTTTGTCTTTGCTCATCCACCAAGAGACCTTTCTTCAGGGTGTCTCCTCTATTTCCCAGCACTGTCTATGCTACCCTCCCTTCTGACACCCCTTATTCTCTACCTTCTTACCCCACCCCTAGTTCCACCCCCTAGCCTCATCCCCTCTAAGGCAGGATTTCTCAACCTTGTTACTAGGGCCTGATCATTAGTTATGGGGGGGGAAGGGCTGTCCTGTGCACTGTAGGATGTTTAGCAGCACCTTAGCCCTCTACCCACTGTACACCAATAGCACTCCCCAGTTTAAAAACTAAAAATATCTCCTGACATTGCACATGTCCCCTGGAAGGCAAAATGGCCCCACTGAAAGCCATTGGTCTGAGGTAATTTGGTCATTTTGGCCTGGTTGAGAAGTCAGTGTTTGGGAGTTCTTTCTGGGGGGCACTATTGCACAGTGATTAATATCGCTTACTCTGACTTCAGAGAGTTGGGTTTTTAAATTCTACCCCTTGGGTTACCACTCACCTCTCTGAACCGTGGTTTCATCACTTGTAAAATCATTTTAGCCTCAAGAGTCGTTGAGGAAGAAATGAGACAAAGTGTGTAGGGATGCCTGGGTGGCTCAGCGTTTGAGCATCTGCTTTTGGCTCATGGCCTGATCCCGGGGTCTGGGATCAAGTCCCGCATTGGGCTCCTTGTGGGGAGCCTGCTTCTCCCTCTGCCTATGTCTCTGCCCTGCTCTCAGTCTCTCATGAATAAATAAATAAAACCTTAAAAAAATTTTAAAAAGTGTGTAAAGCTCTAATCATAGCAACTGATGCATAGCGATGTTAACTAACATTTGTCAACTGTTTGCCATAAGCCAAGAGCTTTTCTGTGCATTTAAATCATACCTTGTTCAGTTTTACTGACATCCCCATTTTGCAGAGGAGGAGATACAGCACATGGAATTTAAGCATCATGCCCGAGGTCATGGATACTGAGTGGTGGAACCAGAATGTGGATCTCTCAAACTCCTGACTTTCTAAATGTTCAGTAAATGGCAGCAATAATCATTATTACTATGAGGTCATGGATTCTTACTGCAGTTGAAAGAACCTTCTGGATACTGTCTTTTATCCTTAAGGTAAGGCACCCCTGGGGTTGCAGGAATGGTTTATAATACTCTGCAGTATTATATTGCATTTGAAAGAATCAGGACTTGCTAGGGATAATATCCTGAGAAAGGGGGCTGTTTCTGTTGTGGGGTGAGAGGAATGGCTCCTAGACTTCCCAGATTCTTACAGTCCCTCTCATACACACTAGATCCTGTGACTCTTCCCTCCACTCCACCCTACCCCATTGACTCTCACTTCAAAGGGGCTGAAAGTCCTGCATTCTTGCATTCACTGAAGGGCATTCTCTTCCATAAAGAGAGAAATTGGAAGAAATATGCAAATTTCTCCCAACCTAGGACCAGGGCTAACATGGTGGGAAGCAACTCAAGTCTTATGCCTTGTTCCTTCCTCTCTCCAGGGTGAGGGCTGAAGCCCCAGTACTTACTGGGAAGGATCCAGTCACTCAAACAAGAACCCTGGACATTCACTAGAAGGGTGGATAAGACCAGGATGCTCAAAAGTCTAGAAGACTGCATACTGAAGAAGAGCTGGTCTGTCCAGGGATTCCAGAGTATGAAAATGTCCAGCTGCCTTTGACCAGCCTATTTTTTCAGTAGTCAGTATGTTGGATGTGAGAACTGGAGTTAAGCCAGCCACCTCCTTTCCTGCTGGGAACCCCAAGTTCCTGAGATCATCAATGTGACAGCGGGTGTCTATAGCACACAGCCCTGGGGAAGGGTCTTTTGTTGCATGGTTCCTGATCCTCAGCAGCCTGGGCAGAGCCGTGCCCTCTGGTCAACCAGGGGGAGTGGGCAAAGCTTGTCTCACATTCCAGGTGAACTTAGGAGTCAATGCCACCATCAGGGGTCGTCTTCTTGGTAACTCTGAGAGTTGCAGAATGTGCCTGCTCTCCATTCACTTTACATTTTTTCTGCACACTAAGTGGCATGCCCTTTTTGTTTGTCTCTGACATGTGTCTCTATGGATCTCTTGTTACCTCTGTCTTTCTGTGCTTCTCTGTGTCAGTGTCTGACCTACTCTCTTCTTCTTTGGGTCTCTCAAGGTCTCTGTGTCTCTTTATCCCTCTCCTATCCTTTCCTCCCATCCTTCTCCATTTTCTCTTTCAGTAGTTTATATTCTTTGAATAAGACCAAAAGAGTAAATGTGTTGCCACAGAGTGGGGCATGGGGAAGGAACAGCCTGTCAGCACAGTTTTCAGAGAGTATTTGTTAAAGTTGTATTACTTTGAGAACTTTGAGGAATGTCAGTAGAGCTTCTAGGGGGTTGTCTCCCAACTGGTGCAAACTCCTTGTTGTTGGAGGAGGAACAGTAAGATAGGGAGACCTGCCTGAGAGATTACACCCAAGAAGAGGTCCATAGCAGTGGAGTGGCTGGCTTCTGACTGGACTGGTGAAAGGGCTCTGGAGAGAGTGCTAGGGTACTTGGTAGCTTTCCAACAAAGAGTCCACATGTCAGCCAGTCTCTCAGTCTTGGCAGGGAGAGAGACTCTCTTCAGAGAGTAAATGTCATCTGTAGGGTCCTCATTTCTTCCATTAACTAGCTGTTGCACTTTTGGGCCAAGCTTTGTTCTCCATTTGTCCTACATGATGGGCAGAAGCCAGACAAAGCAAGCCTCATCATCAGTGAGTGATGATATGGTCACAAAATTTAGGATCACTGACAGAGCGTTCTATGAGAGTCTGTGATGTGGGTCTCAGCCTATTGACAGTGAGTTTCTCAGCTAGGAAGGCCTGAGACATCCCTGAGTGGGGGGCATATTTACTCAAAGAGAGGTCTCCAGACATTCCCTTCACAGACATCCCCCTACCACCACTGGGCCAGTGTTGTGGTTGGATAAGATTTTGTGGTTCTTTTTATGATCCCAGGACTTGCATCTATCATACCATCAGGGAACTTAAGAGAACAAGATTTAATAGTCACAAGCCTTGTAGGGTACATGGCAAGCTGGAGGGCCACACAGGAGGTTGTGGACAGAGAATGTGGGAGAAAGTGCAGACCAAGGACTCTCCCTTTATTAGGGTCCCAGGGTGAAATGTAGGGTTTCATGAGTTCACTTTCTGTTGGTGAATTTAAAGCACATTGAAGTGGGTATTAGGGTGTGGGAAGGAAGAAACTGGGCTTTGCCATGATCAATGATTTGGATTCCTTGAGGACTTCCTAAAAGTGGAACTTCATGGGTGAGGGGAGAGTGGTTGCTCATCTAGTCCTGTCATTACAATCTGTGTTATACAGCTGGGTTGTCCTATTATGTATTGCAGTGGGTGTCTTTGAAATGGATGCCTCACCACTCAAAAGCTTAATGTCAGGCACTCACATTACAGTGAAAAAGCTGACTCTCAGGCACTTACACTACAGAATCCCATACCATCAGTTTCAGGGACCCACTGGACCCCACAAAGGGAGCAGGAAATAGAATTCTAATGAATAACCAAGATGTCTTCAGAGGTGCTGTCCCTCTTAATTCTGTGTCCTTCTCAAAATCATCCCAGAAGAGATTACAAAGCTGAACCACCTGGGTGGAAGGACTCTGAGGGCACAAGTCCCATTTCCTCATCTTACACATAGGGGTCATAAGGCCCATTGGAGTGCAGATGCTGATTCAATGTCATCAAGTGAGTGAGTGTCAGAGATACAGGTCAGAGGGAATGGAGTGTCTGAGTTCTTGTCAGAGGTCACTATGGAATCTTCTGATATTAGTGTGGACATAATATGTTACTATGGAGTGGGAGGAATAGTACGTAAAAGGGGAGGGGGTGAAGGTGATGTGTACAGTGGGGACAGAAGCTAAGGAATTCCAGGGTCTATAAATGCCCAAATGGTTCCTGCGGCCTCCAAATAAGACCAAATTCTTCTCTAAATCTTCTTGAAAGTGGATCCCTGGGTGGCGCAGCGGTTTGGCGCCTGCCTTTGGCCCAGGGTGTGATCCTGGAGACCCGGGATCGAATCCCACATCGGGCTCCCGGTGCATGGAGCCTGCTTCTCCCTCTGCCTGTGTCTCTGCCTCTCTCTCTCTCTCTCTCCTCTCTGTGACTGTCATAAATAAAAGATTTAAAAAAAAATAAATCTTCTTGAAAGTAAATGAAAACTCAGAATTCTGATTGTTCTATCTATCTATCCTGTCTTGCCTAATTTCCAGCCCCACCCAAGGGTCTCACTTTCAAAGCAGGTGAGATGAAATTTATGTCTTTGGGGCCTGAGATGAAAGACACGTTTTGGCCCCTTCCCTCACCCAATTTCTTGAAGAAGGCGAGTAAGGATACATGTGGATCTTTTCCCTGCTTCTCTTATCTCCTCTCACTGATGGTCATAGTACCCTGCCTCTACTAGCTCAGCCACACTTCTGTTCAAGTACCTATCCCCTGTCAGAATGAGAAACTCCAAGGGGTACTAAGCTTGATGGCCTCTACCTGGAAATTTTTGCTTGTTAATTAGGCCAAGACAGTTTCCTCAAACTTCCTGTCCCTGGCTTTCTGTGTTGTTTCCTGAGTCCCTACATGTATTACTGAGTTTCATGTTGTGTCCTTAAATGAATTCTGACCTTCATTAAACAGGCCTATGTTTAGAGCCTAGTGCTTAGCACATTAATAGGCCCGGAATAAATGCTCTAAATAAACTACTGGATGAGGAAGGTAGGTATGTGGGTGGTTCATAGTATGATGAATGGGAAGATCATTTGAAGAATATGAAGAAAGATGGGTGAGGGTATCATGGACATTTGGATGCATGAATACATGAACATGGATGGGGGGTGAAGAAGTGGGTTGCACTGAACATAAGGATGGATAGGTTAGTCATGGAATGAATGGGTCTATTTGATGGAAACTCTGAATGGAAGGGAGGTGAGTAAATTGGTAGGTGGATGGAGGGGAGATGGGCGTAGAAATGATGGAGAAGTATGTCGTTGGGCATGAGAGGATGGTGTGTGTATGAAAGATGGATAAAGGCTGGATATAAAACAGGCAGCTGCATAGGCAGAAAGAAGATGGGTGGGAAGGGTAAGTGGATCGATATATGAGTGAAACCATGGATGAAAAGACAGGTAAATTTAAAGATATATCAATGCAGTATAGGTGAGTGGGTGGATACATGAGTAAATGGAGGGAATGGTGGTGAATAGGTGGGGGTAGGGTAGAAACATGAGTATAAGAATAAAAACATTAACAAAAATTAAAGATAAAAAATCATGTACAAAATAATTTATATTACTCTAAAGTAATACATTTGAAAGTGGAGAGAAAACGGATCAATTTTAGCAACACATAAGAGACCTAACTTTATAGAAGAAGAGGTAGAAAGCCTGTACAAGTATAAGATAAAACACAAAGAAAATTAGTAAAGATATATCTTACAGAAAGAACCTAACCTAGATGCTTTTGGAGCACAATTTTGTCCAGCTTTCAAGGAACAGAGGATATCATTAAAATGTTATTATTGAAACTATTATTAAAGATACTACAGATCATGGGAGGCGCCTGGCTGGCTCAGTCAGCAGAGCATGCAACTCTTGATCTCCGAGAGTGAGTTCGAGCCCCACTGGGGTGTAGACATTGCTTAAAATAAAATAAATAATAATTTTTAAATGAGCACTGGGTGTTATACTATATGTTGGAAAATCGAACTCCAATGAAAAAATATACAAAAAATTAAAATATTACAGGTCATAGGGAGAAAAAGTACGTTTTCCAATCAGTTTTCCATGCTAGTTTGTTGAAAGGTATATGACTCAGATAGTAAGACATACCAAAGTAATAGACCTATTTTTCTTTTGACCATTGATGTGAAAATTCTGCACAAATTATTTGCTTAAAGAACCTTCAGTGTATTATTACAAGTATATCCTCGATACGATTAAGGTCAATCCAAGAATGCAAGGATGATCCAACATTTGAAAAATTAATAATGTACTCTCTTATACCAGCACTTTAGAAGAGAAAAATCATTACATGATTTTTAGATGCCTAAAAGGTTTTTGACAAAATGCCACAGTAATTTCTAATAGCAGTTGTAAATGGATGAAAAGAAAACAACCCAAGAGTAGTAACATCTGTTGATCCCAAAGCCAACAATAAGTATCATTTTATACAGTAAGAGACACTGACTCTAAAATAAAGAACCAGACAGGGATAAATGTCATTACCTTTATTTTCAGCATTGTTTCAAAGGCTCTACATGATATAAAAAGACAAGGAAACATATAAGTCGTGAAATTGGAATAAAGAAGAGTTAAATTTCTCATCATTTTCGGTTGACATGATTCTCTATAAAATCAAAGTAATCCCATTAAATACTGTTCTACTTCGAAGACAATTTGGAAGGTAGTTGGATAAGAGATAGTACTGATAGCTTTTTATCATGCTAGTCATAGTTAATTACATCGATGATAATATTTTCCACTTACTGGTCATTTTTGAGATTCCAGGCACTTCAGTCCACAATGTGAACAGCACTTCTGGGATACTGGGCAATCACGATCCTGCAGGCACTTGGGTCTCTCAATCTTGGAACACATCAGGGGCTTGCGTGGGCAGAAACCTGATTTGACTTTATGGGATAAAATAAGACACTTGACCTTGAAATACTTGACAATAGTTTGAGACAAATTTGGGGGACTTGGGGAACCCTAAAAGGGGCTATCTTCTGAGGAAGCCTCTTACGCTTTCCCCCAGAGTAACGATAGTGTGCAGAAGGCAGAGTATCAGCATTCTATGGCTAATAATTTGAGGAGTATCAAAGGGGCTTGCCGTGTCTGACGTAGAGAATCCGTTAGGATTCCTGCCACTCCCACAAAACTAATGGATTTGTGTTTCCTAATCCCAAAGTACCAGAGTCTGAAGGAATGTTAGAGAGCATTCAGAACTTCCTCATTTTAGAAATTGTAGAAATTGAGGATTTTGTAGGGGCATGTGAGTTACCTAAGGCCATATGGAAAACAAGTAGAAGAGTTGAAGTCAGTTGAAAGGCCTTGGGTTCCTTCCAGGACACCGGGCTGTACCTCAAAACACTAACAATCTCTGGGACAAGAGCATATTATCTCAGCACTACATGCAGAAATGAGCACTAGTCTCAGAGGTACAAAGTTCAAGTCGGCCCCAATAGCATTTTGCTACCCATCTTTTCCCCAGCATCCCTTACATGATGTGAGTATGCTCTACATGTTCCAAAGTTTTGTGTAGACAGACATAAGACTTATTAGGAATGGACGTAATGGTTATCATTTTTTGTATGAATAAGTGTATATTGTCACCTGTTGGTCAGTGAAGAAGAGATTCAGAATAAATAAGTTCTCATGGGGAAAAATAGGCAGTGATACTATGCCTGGTTGGCTTTGAAGACTAGCACAATAGTTTCCAGAAATCAGGAAGGCAACAGGAGAGCAGTGATTGGGCCTTAAAAAAGGAAAATTTCCCAAGAGACATCTAAGGTCAACCGAAGGGGCATTCCCATTCCATGAGACAACATGATATCCTTAGCATATTTGGGAGGTATATCTCCAGTCCTCACCTGTCCAGGCCTTGGTACAAACAAAGCCACACATGGATTCACAACATTTGTCACTGTTGGGGCAATCCATGTCACCCTTACAGGAAGCTGGACACTCCATACGGTTCTTGAAGGGGAAGAGTGGGCACTGTCCAGTCTTGACTAAAACAAGAACAGATGTGAGTTTCCTCAAACCTCACCCACCTCACACCCTTCAAACACCTTTACCTTCTCTTCAAAACTAGTATATCTTCCTGTGACTTGGTTCACTCTACCATGACTACCTCTGGGAGCCTGCGGAGGAATGCAATGCCTCAGCATCTCATGGGATGTGGTAGGAAGAGAGTTAGGCTTGTTCTTTGAAACCCCAGGTAAGAAGGTGGCTCCTCAGGTTGGGTTGGCAGCTGAGAATGTGGTAGGAAGTGGTCAGATTTGGATCTATTTTTAAGGTAGATCTAAAAGGATTTCCTAACTCAGTAGATGTGGATTGAGAATGTCGACGTTGATTCATTAAGGGTCATTTAGAAGTTGATTCCAATCAAGATGGGGAGAACTATGGGCAGAGCAAGTTTGAGGTGGGAGAGCAAAGATGAGGAGTCTTGTTTTAGACAAGTGAAGTGTGAGGTGTTTGTGAGATTGAGATGAAGGAGTAGAGTAAGCAGTTGGAGTTTGGGAGTCAAATTCAGACTGGAGATAAAACTGTGTGGGTCACTAGGACCTGGGTGGTATTGAAATCAATTTGTTAGGATTTTGTGCATGTTTCCTGTGATCATTATGTGATTGCAAATTCTATGAGGGCAGGAAGTATTTCTTGTCTTCTCTTTCTCCTTCTACTCCTTGTCCTTCTTCCTCAAGTCAGACTCAGACAGACTGTGGTGTGTTTGACTCTCAGAGCTATTGTTAGGTTCTTTCTGAGCCCCAGATGGAAAAAAAGTTTCCCCCAAACTCACTCAAGCCCATTTCCCTGGTTGCTTCTTTCTGCTGGCTTCTGAGAGTGAGCCAAGGTCTAATCTATAGTGCCATGATTCCTTACAGCATCCCACAACGGGTAAGGCCACAAGAGTGCCTTGTCTATTCAAGCTCACTGGACGTACAGAATTAAAATTCCAGATCTACCCGGGACCCACTGTGAATCCTTGGGCGATTAACTTTATCTCTCTGACTCAGTTTCTTTGTGAGGCTAATAGACGTGATGGTACAGTATTCAGCTCGATTCACAGACCCGGAGGCCAAAGTTCTAGTGCTGCCTTGTATGTCACACAGTGTTGCGTTTGAACATCAATTGTCACTCCCTGGATTGCTACTATTTAGTGAGCCCACACTACTGAACAGCCCCCATGTCAGATCCTTGTGTCCTGATCACATATAATCCTACCAACACCTCACCTCAGTGAAGTCTTTGCTGTTAGTCCAGTATTACAGGGGAAGGACAGAAATTCAAAGAGGTGAAGAAATTTTCAGGAAATGGGAAAAGGAGGAGTTTCATCTACCTCTGTAAGATACTGTCTCCCAGTATTATTGGTGTTGGTCATTAGAGTAGGAACTAATCCACAGCCCTCACCTTCACCTCAGCCTGTTCTTCACTTACTCCATGCTCTACTCCTACTTCATGGGATTCCAGACCTGACCTGTTGATGCTTCATTCTTGGATGAGTCCTCAAGTACTACTCAACAGGCATGTGCTCTATGTCATTTTTCTGCCACAATGACTCCATTAGGTAAATGCTATTTTTATCCCCCTTTTATAGACAAGAATGCTGAAGTGCATGGAAGCAGAAGACTAACCGAAGGCCACCCATTCAGTGAATGACAGAGCTGACTTGAGTCAAGACAGTTTCACCTCAAAGCCTAAGCTTATACCTAGGCTGGTATGCTATTTCTGGTTAGACTAGTTCCTCGGAATGCTAGGCTTATAAGTCTTACCAACTGATGAGCAAGCCACTCTGCAGTTTCCTCTGCTGTTGAAGTTGTTGGCATTCCCATAGCAGCCTCCATATTTAAACGGTTTGCATATCTGATGTTTAAAGTCAAAATACCAGCGCGAGATCCCAATGTTACAGCTTCCTTGGTCTGAGGGTAGCATGCAGGGTTCTGAGGGTGGGAAGCAAAGAGTTAAGGCCAGAAAGGGTAGTAGAAAAGAGAAGGGGTCAGGTTCTTAGCTTCTACACAATTCTTGGTATGACCATACAAGTCATACAGAGCCACTGTCAAGAAAAGTCTAGACTAGTTCTCCTACAAATAATCTATGTTGTTCACTATCTCTGAGCACCATTTCTACCTTGCAAAAGACATAGTGAAAAGCATATGAGGATGTTTTGTAGCTGATCTTTTACTCTAAGGCCCTGAGCTTTGGGAAGGTGAGACTTGTTCAGTGACTGTATCCCAAGTGCCTAACAAAGCACCTGGTGTATAGAAGGAACAAGCCATGAAGAAAGAAAAACAGCAATGTCTCATGTCTGGATCCTGTCTGATGCTCACAGCTGAACCATGTCATTCCCTATTAGAAATAGACAGGTCACAGGACATCCACATCAAAGAAGATTGCTCTGGGGCCATCATAAAGGGAAACTAAAAACACAATATTGTGAAACCCATGAAATGCCAAACACCTATGAGTGATTTATGCTTCTCTATCCATTATGGCTTCATCCTTAGTCTAGCCTGCCCTCTCTATAGATAAGATTCCCTGAGAGTGTCCCACTTTTCAACGACACCCAATATAGACCACACCCAGGCCCCAAATTCCCCAATCAAAGCCTCTCTCCTATAGTAGATTCTTTCCTGAATCTCAGTAGCTTTTTACTGAGATCCCTCCAGTTATTTATGGTGAACATTCTCCCTCATTATAATGAATAATAAATCCACCTTGTTCACCTATAAGTGTATTCCCAATGACCTTTGTCTAAAGAACATTAAAATAGACACTTTGGATATATATATATATATATATATATATATATATATATATCATAATTTCCTATTATGAGATGCTATATATTTTAAGTTAACAGGAAACTTATTTGAAGGCCAAAGGGTCCAAAACTAAGCCCAGCATCTAAACCAACTGAGCTTTGTATTTACCACATGCCCAGCAATAGTCTCTTGACAGTTAGGGGGCACACAACTAGTGTTAGTTATTTGTGAATGCTTGAATGTTGACTCAAAAAAAGACTATCATCCATATTATCCAGTTGATATCCACCATTCCTGAACTCATTGTTTGTACTTGAGTGTTGGGAATCTGAATAGTAAAAGAAAAGCATGAACCCTAGCTTTTTGTCCTACCCTCCAAGAGAATCATTCAACTAGTTCTGGATGGAGCAGGAAGAAAGGCACCTGTAAAGGCGCCTGTGCCCACAGCCTGGGGGCCACTACCTTGGAATGGATCCATACACTTCTTCCCACAGGCGAATGAGCAGCACTTCATGTAATTCTGGCAGTGCAAATCACTTAAGCAGAAGTCTAGAACTTTAGTCTCACAGATGACCCTGTCTTTGGGGCATACTCCCGGTTTCCCTGCAACAAAGCAATGTCCACATTCACATCTCTTGAGAGTTTCAGCTCTCCTCCTATGGCAAAGGTGAAAAGTGATGTTCTATCAGCCCTGTCTTCTACCTTCCATCCTCTGTTCTCACTCTGCTTATATTTGGGGATTGGGTCTGTTTCTCACCACTCATGGTTCATTTAGATCTATCTGAGTCAGGAATCTATGCTCAGGTCAACTGAAGGGGAAGCATCTCAGATTCCACAGCAGGGAGTTATATGGGGATCAAGAGTCTTACCATAAGTTCAGGAGCTCCTCTCTCCTCTTGGAATAGAATATGTTAATGCCCATGGCATCTACCTCCAGAACTGTAGTTGATTGGGGAAGTTAATTAGTAAGGAGTAGAGGAAATATCATGGAAATAGGAGTATAGGAGTCACCAAAAAAAACCTGATTTGGGCCCCTGGCTCCTTGTGAGCTCAAGGCCAAACTGAGTTCCACTATACAACTTCGCAGTTACCTCTAAAGTGTGCAGAAATGGGCAGCAGGAGGAGCACTCCAAGACAGACCTGGTGTGGAGGCCTGATGCCAACACAACTGTAAATAATCTTGGGGAAAACGTATTCCTTTGGAGTCCAACATTTCTCATCTATAATATGAGAAAATCCTTACAACCTGCTTAAAAGAATTAAGGGGATGATGCCTGTAATGCATTTGTCACAGTGCCTGGCACATGGAAAGAGCTTGGCAGATATGGGTTTGCTTCCTCCTTTTTAAGGGCTAGACGTGGCTTCCTAATTGCCGGGGTTGTAGGAAGCAGAATTTGAAAGTTGCTTCCCCGAGATTCTCATCCTCTGGTTATTGAACCAAATATGAATTTAGGTGCTGCTGTGAAGGGAGTTCATAGATGTGAGTAGAGTCCCAAGTTAATTGATCTTAAAATATAGAGATTATCTGAGTGGACCAGTCCTAAGCTCTTGAGTCCTTAAAATGAAGCGCTTTCCCCCTGATTAATAGGGAAGAGGTAAGAGAGATTCAGTCCAATGCACTATTAGTAACATTGAGGATGGAGGAAGCTAGGTGCCCTGGATGGAAGGTGGCTTCTGGAAGCAACCCCCATGGTACAACTGCAAGGAAATGATCCTGCCACAGCCAGAGTGCATGGCCAAGAACTCTGGGTTCCTAGATGGGAATGGCGGCTTTGGCTGACACCCTGGTTTCAGCCTGCCAAGACCCTGAGCAGAGAAGCCTGGCACACTACACCAGACTTCTGGCCTAGAGGTGATGTGTCACACAGCGACAGATAACTACTATACTGTGGAGTTGGCTTCAGGACTCTAAACCAAGCTGCTCTCCAGTGAGATCTGACCAGAGAAGCATGATTCATTTGGATACTACTGAGACTTGGAATTATAGAAGTTTGGAATTGGAAAGGCCATATAGGTCATTAGTATCACCCTCCTAATTTCCTAGGCAAAGGAAAGAAGAAGAAGAAGAAAAGAGAAGAAAGAAGAAGAAGAAGAAAAAGAAGAAGAAGAAGAAGAAGAAGAAGAAGAAGAAGAAGAAGAAGAAGAAAGAAGAAGAAGAAGAAGAAGAAGAAGAAGAAGAAGAAGGAGGAGGAGGAGGAGGAGGAGGAGGAAAGGGAGAGGGAGAGGGAGAAGGAGAAGGAGAAGGAGAAAGAGAAAGAGAAAGAGAAAGAGAAAGAGAAAGAGAAAGAGAAAGAGAAGTCGTCAGATGTGAAAATACAGTTAATGAGGGGCAGCCCTGGGACCTCCAATTCATGACTCACTCTGGAAGCCAGAAGCCCTGAGCATGCCATTGAGACTTTTGGTACTTTCCAGATATATTTCTTACCCTTCATACCATGCTTCATGCATCCACCATGGACATCTGAGGCTAAGAAGAATTGTGGTTCCTAATCTGGAGTATACAATGGAAACCTCTGTGCATCTTTTAGAAACTGCAGACTGTGGCCTGAATCAGAATCTCTAGAAAGTGAAGCCTAGGGACTTCAATTTTTAAAAGCACATCTGGGGACACCAAAGCAGGCAGTTGAGCATCATGATGCAGGCTACTCCTTGGGAGCCAGTGTTCTAGCAAATTAAATAAAGGAGAGTAAAGCAAATCAAATAAGGGATACCTCCAAGAAGTAAAAAAGGCATAGAAATCTTGAGATTCTAAAGACAAATGTCCCCACCTAATATAGACTCTAGTCAGTCCTGCCTCCCTTCTGCTTCTAGAGGCTTGTAAACCATTTTTTTGGTTTAGCCATTGTACCTTCTTGCCCCACTGTCAGCTTCAGCTCTCACTTATAATCCTCCTCCCTCCCGGTCAGCCGTCCTCAGTTCCTTACCTTGTCTGTGCCGTCTCCTCCCTGAATGCACACACCCTGATGGTTCCTCTGCAACTACTAAGGATGCTCCCTGGGTGTAGATGTCAGCTCTCTGCTGTCTTTACTGGACGCACACTTTCTGCACCACATCCATATCCATGATGCTAACTGTGGTTCCTATACCTCTCTCCAAACCCATCTTCACTTCCAAGCTAAAGACACATATTCAACAACCTGGGGAACATGCATCTGGGCATCTCATAAGACCTCTATGCCCACATGTATAAAACAGAACTAGGGTCTCCCTATGCCTCAACAATGCCTCCATCTCTCTACTCACATCTTTATATTTGACATCAGCAGGCTCCCAGGTGGTCATGAGAACCCTGAGATTCCTTTCTCCCAATATTTCACCCCAGCATCCTATCAATCATGGACCTGGGCCAGTTTTCCCTCTAGTCTCTCTCCAAGCCCCATAGCTTCTTCTCTTGACCAGCATTTCCAGGGCAGGCCAGACCTCATTCCATTTCTGTCCTCCACTGTGCAACTGCCTCCTCACTGTCCTCTACCTCAGGCTCCTGCCTAGTGATAGATTCACTTTAAAAATTAATCTTGGAAAAGACACATATCAGGAAAAGGTAGAGAAATAATTTGGAGGCAGTAGATGAGGGAAGGATCAAAGGGCCCAGGGTGTGTGAACAGGGCTAGTTCTCTAAAGCCACAGAAGATGTGGCTTCAAATAATGTGAGTCCTTGCCTCCCGCCTGACTCTCAGTCTCAGAAAGGCCTGCTAAGGAAGGGTGGCTGAAGCTCCTCTGAACCCACGTATCTCTATTTTGACTGGCGAAGAAGTGGTCTCCTCCAAAGAGATAGAGAGAAGCAGCAGGAGTGCTATATTCCTCCAGGAGAAGGTCGAACTGTGGAGAGGAAGGTTCCTGTGTGGGACGAGAAGAGGCAGAGGGATTAGGCACAAGCCAGACAGACATATAGAGCTTGTGCTGAGAACCATGGAGACTATCCACCACTTCTCTCAGTCCACAGATGAGGAAACCAAGATGCACAGTGGGGAAGGGGTTTGTCTGAGGTCACGTGGAGAGTAGGGCAGGATCTTCAGGCCTAGGACCTTCCCAGTGGCCCCACACTCTGCCATGGTCTGGAGCATGTCCCAGCAGGACATTTGCCCATTGTCTTGTTCCTCCATGAAAGGTCACATGTGAAGGATCACAGGGATTGTTCTGGAACAGTTGCAGGGCTGGTTTGCCCACTGTCATTCCAAGGGCAACCCCAGACATGAGTAGACACCTTTTCCTTGCTTCACTGATGACAAGAGACTGATGGTTTGAGGTCTTCATGAGGGCCTGAGCATGTCCCTCTGGGTCTTAGAGCCCCAGGAGCAAAAAAATCCCAGGTGACCTTGGGTGAAGAAAAGAATGCCTCATCTTCCTTCTGGTGTTATCCAAGCCTAGCTTCTGATACTCCCAGAGCACTCCCTACACAGATGACCCTTCCCTACTCACCTGACACCCATTTCAACATGTCTTTTCTTTGTCCTTATGTCTTATAAATTCTGTGATGTGAAGAACTGATAATGCCTTGCCATGTTACCTCTCTCAGACTAAACGCATCTCAAAAACAGCAAGAGAGATAGATGGAGGCAGAAAGGAGGGGAGACAGAAAGAGAGGAAGGCAGAGAACGTTGTTATGCCCAGGAAGGCACCTATGTTGTTGGTGGAACTTCAAACATGAAGTTCAGACATGAAGTTCTGAAAAGGCATAGAGTCTTTTCCAGATCTCCTGAAACCATATTACGTGGCTGCCTAAGACTAAAGACTTATAGCAATGTCTTCATTTTTGTCCCTAGAATTCTAATCCTGAATCCTCCCCACATTTTACAACAGTGCCTGGGCTGTTCAGTAATGACAGTTATGGCTCCAAACCCAGTGATGCTAATTTTTGATCCTGGCTGGTAACTTATCACTGTAGCTGTATCTTGGAGCCTTAGTTTCCTCATCTGGAAAATGGGAACGATACAACATACCTGGCAACTTTGGTGTCACTGTAAGGATTAGATGAAATCAGGTGAAGCTTATTCATGAAGTGGCATGGCATGGTCAAAAATAGTGCTTGGAGTTGAATCTGAACTCATGTGGTGGATCCCCTACTTGCCAGCTATGCCACTGAACCTCACTGAACCTCAGTATTTTTTCCTTTCTTTTTTCAAGATTTTAGTTTTAACTAGTCTCTATACTCGACGTGGGGTTTGAACTTACAAGCCCAAGTACAAGAGACACATGGTCCTCTGACTGAGCCAGCCCGGTGTCCCTTACCTCAGTTTTCCTTGAAGGAAATAGTAACACACCTACTTCATAGACATGAGAATTAATGAAACTCTTGTGGAAAGCATGGTGACTGGTGTAATTAGTATATTTTAGGAAGTAAACAAATAATTTACTGAATGTCAAAGAAAAGGTGCCTATTGTCTTTTTGGCTCTTGAATTTCCCATAAACATCTCTGTATATCATTATTTCTCTTCCCTGGGAAGATTAGCCAAGGCCCTATGGTGTCTTAAATTCTTTTTTTTAAATTTTTTAAAATTTTTATTTATGATAGTCACACACACACACAGAGAGAGAGAGGGAGAGAGAGAGAGGCAGAGACACAGGCAGAGGGAGAAGCAGGCTCCATGCACCGGAAGCCCGACGTGGGATTCGATCCCGGGTCTCCAGGATCGCGCCCTGGGCCAAAGGCAGGCGCTAACCCGCTGCGCCAGCCAGGGATCCCTAAATTCTTTTTTTTTTTCACTTTTTAAAAATTATATGTATTTTTTTTTATTGGAGATCGAATTGCCAACATATCGTGGAGTCTTAAATTCTTATATCAAATCACTCTTTGGGTTTGAAGTTTTATATCTATTGACCCAGTCTTAAGTAGTAGTTGATCAGACAGCCTATAGTTTCTTAGTAGGAAGCAGATCTCCAGGGATGCGGGTACAAGGAAAGATGCAGATCAATTGGATCGCCAAATATAATGTAGGGTATTCGGTTAGAATTTTTAGGAGAAGTATATCCAATGAAATATAAAGACTGTAGTTACACTAAAAATGATCCAGTATTTATCTGACATTCAAATTTAGTTGGTCATGTAATATTTTTATGTGCTAAATCTGGCAACCATAAAACAGTGAATTCATTCTGGAGGGGTATTTCTTTGGGCAAGAGACTACAAAACATGTGTCCTGTGGGGAACAAGCAAACGTGTGTGGCTTACTGGTTCAGTGGCCCTGGGGACTGGGACAGATGTGGGAGGCATGGACTCGATCGTCCTGTAGGAACAACAATGAGCCAGGAATGAAGACGCTTTGATCAAAGCCCAAGTTCCACCATTAATTCACCATGTCAATTTGGGCTACTTTTATTTCAGTCTACCCATTTGAAAAGTAAGGAGGCCAACTCAGTCAGTCCTGTCCATGCTGCATGCTGGCATTCCCCTACTCCAGAGGACACAAATAGATTTTCCAGAGGCACAAACAGGTTTAAGGACGTGATGTCCTCGTTCTTAAATTCCACATTTACTGTTTCTTGAAGTTGGTCTGCCTGAGAAAAAGCCTGCAGCCTGCCTTTCTCCCCTTCTATCTGTCTCTCAGAATGTCCTGTGCTGCTTCCAGAAAAAGGTGGGGATGGGAGCATATGCCTTACCCATCTCTTATATGTGTTGAAAGTATAAAAACTGAGTTCTTTTTTATTTATTTTTATTTTTTTTACGATAGTCATACAGAGAGAGAGAGAGGCAGAGACACAGGCAGAGGGAGAAGCAGGCTCCATGCACCGGGAGCCTGACGTGGGATTCGATCCCGGGTCTCCAGGATCGCGCCCTGGGCCAAAGGCAGGCGCCAAACCGCTGCGCCACCCAGGGATCCCTAAAAACTAAGTTCTAAACAAAGGAACAATTTGAAAATGTATTTTCCTTTTTTTTCTTTCGTTTTTAAATAAATTTAATTTTTATTGGTGTTCAAATTGCCAACATATAGAATAACACCCAGTGCTCATCCCATCAAGTGCCCCCCCATTGCCCCTCACCCAGTCACCCCCACCCCCCGCCCACCTCCATTTCTACCACCCCTAGTTCGTTTCCCAGAGTTAGGAATCTCTCATGTTCTGTCTCCCTTTCTGATTTTCCTGAGTATGCTTCCCTGGGAGCAAAGCAAAAGATATGTGGATAGGAAATAAGGGGTCAGCACCTTGTTTCACTCAAGTGTCAAGTTATAGTATGTCATTATGCCTTTAGCTCCCTCTTCTAGAGTTAGAAGTCCCAAGGACAATGGCATATATCCACAGGGATGTACATAAAAATATTCATTTCAATTGAAAAGCGAAGTCAGTCTTTTTGTGGGAGAAACTGGTCTGATTTGGCTAATTGAAGACTGTCTTTTCCAACTAGCTGATTCGTTGAGCATTTTCCATAAATATAGGGAGCTAAATCTGTGGCTTCAAAAAAATTTCTGACTGTGTTTAAAGCATGTTATAAGATAAAAGCATTTTATAAAATATATACTATCAAAGGTCTATCAGAGTTAACTTTCCAACATTTTTGGAGTGTATCAGATTCATCAGATTCAATAAGGTGTCTAAATAAAAGAATAACAGGTATAATTAATAATATTATTGAACATGTATTAAATATTGGTAACGAAAAAAAAATACTGGTAACGGCTTTTTGGTAAACTCTCCAAAAATAAAGAAAATCACTTGTGATTTTTTGTCAGTATCCTAATTACTTGGAAATAAATTCAAGTATAAGATTTCCAATCTATGCCTTTATAAAATTTGAAAGGGGGTTTAATGAAGCTGCTTTTTAATATTTAACTTAGATCATTAAAAATAATTTTTATTAGAGAGCATTATGTGATTTGGTGGGGCAACGTGCTAGAAGTTCAAAAAACCAAGTGACATACCTATAACAAAATTTTGTTCCCCTGCACTTACTTATCACTAAGAGATGCATTACCTACAGAATTTTGCTTACCATTGAAATTTTGGTAATCAATAATTTCAATGTATTTACTTACCTATCTATTATTGTTATTTAAATAACGAATGGAATGAAAAATCAATGCATAAGAAAAAATTTTATTCCTAGAGTCTTCTGGTCTCAGGAAATGAAAACTTAAAATTTCAATCTATATGCATGTTTTTATTGCATAGCAGTATGAAAAGGTGGTGATTAAAGACTCTTGAGTTTGAACACCAATAAAAATTAATTTATTAAAAAAAAATAAAGACTCTTGAGCATAAGATTATATTGCCTTAGAGTAAGAGTCTGTGGGGTATGAGGAATGGAAATATGAATTCAAGGAGAAGAAGTGTTTTAAAATGTCCGACTTTTAAAGAAAGGCTTTCCATATATTTTTTAAATGGATTGTAGGTATCTAATTAGGACTTTATTTATTTATTTATTTATTTATTTATTTATTTATTTATTTATTATTTGCATCAACATGGATGGAACTGGAGGGTATTATGCTGAGTGAAGTGAGTCAATCAGAGAATCAATCATTATATGGTTTCAATCCTATGGGGAATATAAGAAATATGAAAGGGATTATAGGGGAAAGGAGTGAAAATGGGAAAAGTTAGAGAGGGTGACAAAACATAGAACGGTATTTTGACCCCAATCGATTTATTTTTATTTATTTTTATTTTTTTATTTTTATTATTATTTTTTTGCTTCTGCTTTTTCTTTTTTTTAATAATAAATTTATCTTTTATTGGTGTTCAATTTGCCAACATACAGAATAACACCCAGTGCTCATCCCGTCAAGTGCCCCCCTCAGTGCCCATCACCCAGTCACCCCCACCCTCCACCCTCCTCCCCTTCCACCACCCCTAGTTCATTTCCCAGAGTTAGGAGTCTTCATGTTCTGTCTCCCTTTCTGATATTTCCTACCCATTTCTTCTCCCTTCCCTTCTATTCCTTTTCACTAATATTTATATTCCCCAAATGAATGAGACCATATAATGTTTGTCCTTCTCTGATTGAGTTATTTCATTCAGCATAATACCCTCCAGTTCCATCCACGTTGAAGCAAATGGTGGGTATTTGTCATTTCTAATGGCTGAGTAATATTCCATTGTATACATAAACCACATCTTCTTTATCCAGTCATCTTTCAATGGACACCGAAGCTCCTTCCATAGTTTGGCTATTGTGGACATTGCTGCTAGAAACATTGGGGTGCAGGTGTCCCGGCGTTTCATTGCATCTGTATCTTTTATTTTTAAAGCTGGGCAGCTTTAACAAGATTAATATCTACAACATGTTTGCATAATACATTTGAGATTCATCCATGTTGTTGTGTGTTGTCTGGACCTCTTATGGCTGATTTATGTTTCATCTTATGAGGTACCATAGATTGTTTATCCATTCACTTAATAGACATTGGGTTGTTTCCAGTTTTTGGTGAGTATGAGTAAATCTTCTACAAATGTTTTCATACAGGTTTTAATATGGACATAAATGGTCATTTCTCTTGGCTAAATACCAGGGAGGAGGACATCTGGGTTATGTGATAAGTATATGTTTATAAGAAACTGCCAAAGTGTTTTCCAAAAAGGCTGTACCGTTTTGCATTTCTATTAGTAACATATGAGAGTTCCACGTGCCTCATATCCTTCCTAGCATTTAGAATTACAAATGTTTATTTTAGTCATTCTAATACATGCATAGTGGTACAAGTGCAACAGCTTTTAAGAGATTAAAGTAATTTTCTTGAATTTCTGGGTCTCTAAGAATCTAAATCACTTAAAATGATGGTAGGGTTTGTTTTGTTTTTTTACTATTTCCCAACAGTCCATTGTCAAATGACAATGTTTCACACCCAGTGGGTTCCTCAGTCCCTGAGCCTGGGTGGTCAAAAGTTTCCCCAGAACCCCATCACAGAACCTACCTCTTTTCCCAGCTTCCCCACATGGCAGAGGTTGTTCTTTGCAGTAAACGGAGGAGCATTTTGCAATCAAAAGATCTCCTGATGGTCAGGAGGCGGGGGAAGAGTGTAAATTTCCAGGTTACAATTTTTGGAAACTACAGGTAAGGCCCCACTGTGACTCTACTA